GCGTAAAGCCCACTGATGTTCAGCCCCAAATTATCCAACAGAATGTCTTCAAAACCTCTTTTGATACTGCTATGAATAACTTCGGTGTCACTGCATCACCCTGTCAGACGCTCTTTACGACTCTAAAGTCGACTTAACTTTGGTGATGCTTCCACTAGCAGCGGCATTCTTTTAGATCACGGTGATCATGTCCATGCATCTTTAACAAGTTTGATGGCTCGTCAATAAATCCAGTACAGAAAGGATGTAGACCGAGTCGAAGATATTCCACGAACTGCCGGCAGGGCATTAACAAAAGTACTTAAGAGAAATACTTTGTATCTGGCAATTTCTTGCGTTACCTTGCGCGTTAGGAATAATATGAGAAAAGGTCATGGGGTCAGTTCACGAGAAATATGCCTGTAGAATAATCCTGAAAATATGTGAACTATCCCTTTGCTCCAAGTCATACAGGAAACAACGGTGAAACAGCATAGTCATCGTATAAGTGTATGCACTAAACTATGAAGACTGGCTGATCCTTCTTCCAAAAAAATTGGTTACACTTGCCTAATCTCGAAGTCCATGTTCGTCTGTCTCTTAAAATTTTTTGCCACGTGCTTCTATAGCTCTAATTTAGTAAATTCTTCGATCCCAGTCGAGGTCTTCTAATTGGGAGCATGCAAGCCCTTGGTATTAGTGTATCATAGCTGAAGTGCATCGATCATCCATCAATCCTGCCAGGTAATCCTCCGTAGTTAACCTACAACTGCATGCAGATGTTGAAACTTTTGATAGTATTTGTTATTTCATTCGATCTTGGTAAATGGCATCCATGTGAAGATGAAATATTATGGTATAACCGGATGCAATGACTTCCATCCACCTTAAACTGCTACAGTATCGGTGCAAACCATCGAAAATAAACCAAGCAAATAATTATGCATAATTCGTCGTCGAATATCCTAAATCCGGATGAGAAAAGTGGAGGATTGTGCACCGTAGCAAAATGTCCCGTAAACCTGACCCACCATAAATCCAGCAATGAATTCAAGCCTTCGAGCGTTATACCGGCTCCGTCGTTGTCTAGGCAACCGAAGGCCGCGCAGGCTGTCTTGGGTCTGTGACACATTGCCGAAAGTCGGAATGAGTACCTGCTTAACGCTTTAAGGCAGTAGGCAACGTAGCATCTCGGTCAGTATGTATGCATGTAAAATAATACGGTAAAAAGTGAATAACTTCGAAACTGCGAGACAAATAAGTACATAATTAAAAATAAGAAGGTAGCAGATGTACTTCAGTAAATAATTATGATTCTGATTGGCACAGCTGCTTTTCATAGTCTATAGGTACCCGATGACGTAACATAAGTAGGTAGGTGAGCGCGTAAATAAACTAGTGAGTAATTAGGTAAGATAGATTAGATTAGGTCAGATTAGATTAGCAAGTGTAGGTCAGTTAGAAGTGCCTGCATTGGTTAGACATGAATACGCAAGTAAATAAAGCAAAAAAGTAGACCAAGCGGTAAATATTTCAGGAGGAAAGGAAGGAATCAGAAAGTAAGTAATTACCTGCTGACTGCAGGCAAATGAGTCAGTTAGTAACTAAAAGGATAGTTCAGTCAATAAGAAACACAGCACGTGGTAAGTCGATCGATCAGTTAATATGCAAGTAATATTTAGGTAAACAGTGAACCTTTGATTAACAATTCCCCGTTTGTGAAAACTCATATTTCAAGTTCCAATTTTACGTAATTCAACACAGTTCCTGCTTACAAAGAAACTTCAATTTAGCGCATTAAAAGATTAAGCATTCATAGAGATTCGTTAAATAGTGGGTTTAACTGTGTACCATGTATGAAACTATATAAGAAGTAATGTAAGTACATAAGGACGTGCAAATGTAAGTACATAATAACTGAATAGGCAAGTGGAAATGTAAATAAAATAAATAATTGAGTAACTACGTAAACAAATAAATTAGTAGTTAAGCAAATAAGTAGGTCCGCAATTCAATGGGCAAAGAAAAAAATACGACAACAAACGAACAATTACATAAAGACGTAGATTAATGAATTAATGAGTACAAAAGTATGTCTTCTGCTGAAGCTCAGATTCTGGCACAGGATCGGGAACGTTGGAAGCACTGATTGACGCGTCTGTCTCAGCGACCCGAAAGGAGAAGCAGTCATGGAAGATGAAGAAGATAAGTACATAAGTAAGCAACTGCTGGATATAATACTGGTTAGCAAAATGCAGCTAAACTTTTAACCGAACATAATTATAATAAGTGTGCAGATAAGTGAATAAGTTGACCAGTAAACTAGTAAGTCACTGCGTAAGTATATATGTCAAGATACAGCTGACTGTTGCGGGAATTGAATAAGCAGGAAAATAAATCAATAAGTAGGAATTTTTTATACATTAGTACGATGGGTAGTAAGTCAACAAATAAATCATCAATCGGTAAGGCAGCAGTGTAGTACGAAGTAAGCATGCCTGTAAGTAGCAGTAAATATACAGTACATATCCACGTATGCATCATTGTATGGACGTATGAATGCATGTACACAGTAATGTACCTGTGAGTATATACACATGAATGGCGGTATTAATTTCTTTATAAATCTAAATCTAGGTCTATTGTATCGGTCACCGATCCGCTGATTCTATCATGAATACGTTCACTTGCTGCTCAGTTTCCGGTTTCTTCTTCGGGCATCTACTTATCCACTTCATCAGTTCGTGTGCTTATCGTCTTGTCAATTAATCTAAGTGGTTTTGCGCGGTTCGACGTTTGGGAAAATTGAACAGTAGCAAACATTGACTGTACCTTTAAACAATACAGTTGACTGGCTACCAATCTGATAAAAGCATTGGAGACAAAGGCACCAGCTTAATGCCGGCTTAACCAAAAAAACACGAGTGAAGATATACGATATTTTATCATTTGCACAAATAACAATAACATCCATATTTACCAGGCACATTTCTTGAATGATGATCTTCGCGTTAACCGCCTCGTCGGTTCGAGTCAGCACATCCTTTAAACAAAACTTCGCTTAAGCCAGTAACGCAAAAATCTGCTTACCTGTGATAGACATTGCTCCAGTGTATCCAAGATAATGATCTGAGAGTCGAACAAGTCTTGTTCCGAACAGCACTTCTGAAACAGGCAATTGACAGAGACGTAACTGACACCGCATCATTGACTGCAACAATAAGGCTCAGTGTGTTATTAAAAGGTCTTGAGTTATTTTGACCCCCCCCCCAAAAAAAAGAAACCGAACTTCCGTTATACCAAGAGTTCAGTTTGTGCAATCGAAACCGGTCGATGTTTATTATAGACTGCCGCTGGCAAAATGCCCTGCCTGATAAGTGAGCGGAACGAGACGCAGACATCGCAGCTGACTATTTCCTACCATTGAATGCAGCAGAAAATGTCATCAAATCCAAAGATCCGGAGCTGATGCAAAACCGCTTTAAATAAGGCATCGTTGACGTGACTGTCAATGCAGTTGGCTACTGCAGCGGGGAAGACGAACCAGATCTAGATCACCACACACAAACGATGAACAGGCGTTATTATATTACTGTCATGGGAAAAGGCAAAGAGCGTATAGCTGTTTCATGAAATTGGTCAAAAGCAGCTACCAAAAGGAAAGGCAATGCTCTGGGAACTTCGACTTACTGAAGTTTCAAAGGACAGCAGCGAAATGGGAATGAAAGATGTGCCATAACCAGGTGAAAATCATCACCAACATTGATAGTCATAAACATATATCAGAAGTGCTGCACGGCGAGTCGAACGCATCGATGAAAGATGCCGAGAACTTCGCAGAGCTTCTTAAAATACCTGGTCACATACCTGGTCTTGAAGTGGGTGTTGACAGCAGAGAAGATCTGTATGTCAATTACACCCTAATGAAGATCGAAGAAATTCGACAAGCGATATCTCTCCGTCGAAGCTCGAAGTGCTGCGGAAGCGACGGGATGAAGTGTGAATCTTCTGAAGTGCGGTGACAAAGACCTTCTCAGCTGGATCTACTCAATTTTCAGCATCATCTGGTTGAAGTTAGTGACCCCTAAAGACTCAAAAAACACACCTCCCAATTTACAAATCTGGAAGTAGCGACTAATGGAATTGGCAATTTCACAAATTATCGAATCACACTTCTGCGTGTGTTCGACAAGGTGTTTGTGCGGATCATATTTACAATGTTGAAGGAGGTCATAACCGATTCGCTGCACAAAAATCAAGCAGGCTTCAGGAGCGAACATACCTTGACGGACATGTGTGTGTGCTTCAACGAATCATCAAGCACCTCGAAGCTACCAAATCCCCTGACATAAACATTTTTGGATTTCTGGGCAGCCTTCGATTCAGTTCATCGTTATACAATGTAACGCGTTATTTGACGTAATGGAAGTCCGCAGACGATGGCAAACCAGGCAAAAGGTTCGAAATGAAAGATCATTCTGTTCCACAGAATCTTTCCAAAGCGAATAAATCTTTCTTGACAACGAAATGTGGAAGAGCGTCGGCCCAAATAACAATGAAGCATCTACCAACAGTCAGTCAGTGACTCAATCTAAGATACTCCGTGTTATTCTTGACGTCCTTGACTACGCTGATGACACTGAGCTACCGATGGACCTCTCCAATTTCCTACTCGACACTCACCAAAAGCGTGTACAACAAGACTGAATAGGGAGCTACAATTCAATGCCTAGAAGATGAAGATTGTGATATACCGTCCGCTGAGACCGTCAGCCCTGAGAGAGTATGGGAAAGTAGTGCGGCTAAAAAGAAGGGCAATCTCAAATAACTCAAAACATTCTTTACCAGTAACAACGGCACTGAAGTGAATCGCTGCATAAAACTGACATCTTAGAATTTTTGGAAAACTGTTAAGACTACTACGAAGCTCACCAACTGAAAACAGCTGTACTTTCGGTGGTCATGCATCGTCTCGAAACTTCTGCTGTACTGAAGCGCTATGAACCTCGTCTTGACAACCTCCAACAACGCTGCGTGCGGAGTACCATCAAACTGGAATGGCACCACTTGGTCATGAACAAGCAAGTGCTAATGACCACCGATGTGAAAAGATTATCAGAGCTCAGGGAGATACCGACTGTTAGTCTAGTTTGATAAAACGGTCCAAAAAACGAACAAAAATAAACATTTTCAAAACTTTTCCCACATGGGAACCGCCTCCCCAACGAAGATTTATTGGAGGAAAACACGAAACATGAAATTCGTTATTGCGGCATAGGCCTGGCGAAGAAGAATATAACCTTGTCGCGGTTGGGAGCATTACCAACCTGAAGCACTATCTGTAACGGACAGAGAAAATAAATCTGGTCTACTCTACTAACTTCAGATAACGAACAGAAGACAACAAGCTGCCGACGACAACCAAAGTGGATCAGAAGTTGATGGCCCCCATTTGACTAAGATTCTTAGCTGGTCGGCTACATGATCAGTTTACCTGAACGAGCAGTCATACACAGACTGACTGCATTGAATATATGCTTAACGTTACTGCTTATATATTGTCATATGTTTATCTTTACGTCTAGTGAAAAGCTGTACGAATTAGGTGAAAATCATGTTCTACCTAATGACTTCTTGATTATCAAAATTTTAGGATGACATTTCCAGCAAGCATTCACTTAGGAAATTAGGGAAGCTATGAGAAAACCGCCTACATCAATTCAGAGGTGACAGTCGTACAAAGCCGTGACGCTGCAATATACCAAAAGAAAGGCAAGGAAAACACTGAATTTGTGGGGCTACAACACTCCGCTCAGCTAAACATCCTTGAAACTATGAGAATAACATAGGAAAGTTACGCGAAGCGGTGATTACCGTCAGAGGAAGTCTATTTGGCTAGTCCATGATTGACTGCCCCTTAAAACGGCCTGCCCTCTACCTCACAATGGTTGCTTTTATTTACCATTGGCACCTCTTTACTGAATTTTATTTACGTGTAGGGTGGATCAAGGGGAACTTGAGTCATATGGCGCAAACATCGGGCAGCATGACCCAAAGTTTCAGACGCTGACGCTCTAGCATGACCATCCAGAGCACCATGCTGTTTCTACTGCTCGCAAATTAGCTTACTACTCGCTGACTACCGCTTGACTAATAAGTAGTCTCGGTCGGTAGCCCCGAAGCAAAGAAAAGATAAGTTAGTGATCGCTGAGACAACGATCTACCTCTCACGGTGGGGAAGGGGGTTAGTTGTGACGTCTTTCACCCTTCACAGCTTGATGCCTATGGAAGATTCCTGATTCTTCAGGGAATCAAGAAAAGGTATAGAAACCTCGTCGCCATCATTCACAAGCATACAACTGCCTATGTGAAACTTCACATAAGCATATGCAGGTTCAAAATTCATACAGGCATTCGATAAGGGGATGCAAAATTACCAAAGCCATCAATCGCAGCCTTAGAAAAGGTTTTCAAGAAATACCTTTGGAGCACTACATAAGCCACCTGCGGTTTGCGCAGGACACTTTGATCCTCTCAAAATTACCAGAAAACCTGCAAAGAAAATTCCAAGATCTCAAAATGACGCTAGTAGCAAACTAAAACTGGAAATGAACCTGAAGAAAACTTAGGTGACATTTAACAAATAGATAGCGCGACTTGTTCCAGTCAACGGGCTTAGGCTAGAAAAAGTTCAAACCTATGTCTGTTGTGGGACATCTAATCTCTGCAAATGAGAATCGCTTACGTGAATTCCATAGGAGAGTAAATGTGACATGGAATACTCTTGGAAGATTGAAAACTTCCTTATTCGAGATATTGCCCTCGAGCTTGAAACAGAAAGCATTCGACAACTGTGTGCTCTAAGTGCTAACCCATGGGTACGAATCATGGACCCTAAGTCTGAAAGCTATTCATAAACTACACAACACACAACGTAGCATAGAAAGATGTCTGTTGGGAATAACACGAAGAAATAAGAAGAGAATGGGTAGGTAAGAGCACAAACAATAGTCTGCGATGTAACTGCAAGTGTGAATAAGTCAAAGGGCACTGGAAAAGACACGATGCAAGAAGAACCGACCATCGCCGGAACAAAACTGCAGTACGAAAAAGTCAAAATTGATGGTAAGATTAACTGAAGTTCGTTGGATAAAAGTTGCAGAAAATAGAAGTCAATGGCAAAGTCCTGAAGAGGCCTTCATGCAACAGTAGATCGACAACGACTGATAATGACGGCACGACGTTGACCTCAATTTTCATATCACTGACCGTTAGTGCGTTATTTTTTAAGGCAGAATATACAACCGTGGTTTCCTGTTTCCTTTTCATAGGGTAATACTCATTTATCTACTTCAGAAGAATGAAAGGCGAGTGATAAGAGCTGGGTTCCAAAGCTGGACCTCCCGATATTGAAACCGACGTTCTACTGGCTTTGCGCCGAAACAGCGGGTAAATTTCCAAATTATATCACTGATAAGAACAGACACTAGTTTTTGCGGTCTACATAGAATACTTGTAAATGCGATGCAAGTTATTATCCGACTGCGCCACTTCCCCCATAAATTAAGCCTCTG